AAAAATTTTCTAAGTGTTGAAAATTCCGATCTATCGAATAACCATCCGTGCGATAGGACCAAGAGTTGTTTTTCAAGGTCATGGAAAAAATTCTAAGTGCCGAGATTTCTGACCGATCAGACCGATAGCATGTTGGAGACTGAAGCAATATTTTTTTAAGTATGGACATTTTTGATCGAACGGATGAGCATCCTATTGATCAGACCGAAAGCTAAATTTGAGCAGATGGAGAAAAATTCTAAGTGTGGAGAATTCCGATCAATTGGAACAAGAGAATTTTATGCATTTTTTAAAGAGGAAGAAGAAGGAGAAAAGAAAAGAAAGAAGAATATCATTGAAAAACTCTAGAAACTAGGTTTAACATCCCTAGATGACGCAATGAAGCTCATTCATCAATGTAAATGGGATCCACCAAAGTGTCGGATTCCATATTCTTTTGAATATCGTGACCCTCAACACATTACTTCAAGCATTGGCCATTAACCTTCTAGATTCTTTGGTATTTCAAATCCTTGATTTCAATTGCTCCATGAGGTGAAACCGATATAATTTCATATGGACCGTCCCATCTAGAGCAAAGTTTTTTTGAAAAAAAAATCAAAGCTTAGAATTGAACAACCATGCCTTTTGCCCTGGTTTAAAAGATTTCTTCATAATATGGATATCATAAATGGCTTTTGCTCGGGCTTTATAAATTTTAGAATTTTCATAGGCATCATTCCTAAGCTCTTCCAATTCATTCAATTGAAGCTTACGGTGTTCTCCTACCTTGTCAAGATTGAAGTTTAACTTCTTGATTGCCCAAAGTGCTTTATGTTCCAATTCAACCAGAAGGTGACAAGATTTCCCATATACAAGCTTGTAAGGAAACATAACAATATGAGTCTGGTAAGCCGTCCGATAAGTCCACAAAGCATCATTGAGTTTCTTTGACCAATCTTTTCGATCTGGATTCACTATTTTCTCTAAAATTTGCTTGATTTCCCTATTTGAAACTTCAACTTGCCCACTAGTTTGTGGATGACATGGAGTGGCAACTTTGTGAGTGACGAAGTGCTTTAAGAACAAATGTTTCATAAAACGTTTACAAAAATGCTTTCCTCCATCACTTATCATAGCCCTAGGCATTCCAAAATGACTAAAGATATTGGATTTGATAAGATTAATAACCACAGAATGGTCATTTGTTTTGGTAGCACTAGCTTCAACCCATTTGGACACATAATCAATGGCAAGAAGAATATATTCATTCCCAAAGGACATTAGAAATAGTCCTATGAAATCTATCCCCCACATATAAAAAATTTCAACAATAAGGATTGGATTTAAAGTCATCATAGCTCTTCTTGACATTGAGTCAATTTTTTGATATCGCGCGCACACCTTACAGAAATTATAAGCATCCCTATGGATTATTGGCCAAAAAAGACCACATTGGAGAACCTTAAGCATAGTTTTCTTGGCACTAAAATGCCCACCATAAGCAAGAGTGTGACAAAAGGCTAGAACATTAGGAATCTTATTTTCAGGAACGCACCACCAGATGATTTGATCAGGGAAATAACAAAACAAGATTGGATCTTCCCAATAGTAATTCTGAATGTTAGCAAAGAAACGGTTTTTCTCTTGCTTTGACCAATTAGAAGGAATTTTGCCAATAGCAAAATAGTTCACAATATCGGCGAACTAAGGCAAATTCCCATCGGAGATATGGAACAATTGCTCATCCGAAATTGTATCATGAATTGGAATTTCATTTGGAGAAGATTCAATTACTAACCAAGAGAGATGATCAGCACAACATTCTCGAAGCCCTTTTTGTCTTCGATTTTGAAATCAAACTCTTGAAATAAGAGTATCCATTGAATCAAGCAAGGTTTGGTCTCCTTTTTGGACAAAAGATACCATAGAATGGCATGGTCAGAAAATACATTCACCTTGGATCCTAGAAGATAAGAACGGAACTTATACAAGGCAAAAACATCCGCTAACAACTCTTTCTCAGTGGTGGAATAATTCAATTGAGCCACCAAAAAAGTTTTGTTAGCGTAATAGATAGCACATGGAAGCTTACCTACTCGTTGCCCTAAACCTGCCCCCATAGCATAATTAGAAGGGTCAATTAGGAGGTTACATGATTAGAGTGGATGAGAGAAGATAACGGAGCTTTTGGAATGCTTCAAGGCATGCATCATCAAATACAAATGGTGTCTCCTTGGCAAGAAGGTTGTACAAGGGTTTGGCAATTTTGCTAAAGTCTTTGATGAATCGGCGATAAAAGCTGGCATGTCCTAAAAATAATCGAATCTCTCTCATCGTAGAAGGTGGAAGAAGATCGTAAATGAGTTCAACCTTGGCTCTATCTACTTCTATTCCCCTCTTTGACATAACATGACCTAGCACAATTCCTTCTTGAACCATCAAATGGCTTTTCTTCCAACTGAGAATAAGGTTTGTCTTTCTACACCTTTAAAGAACTAAAGAGAGGTAATGAAGACATGATTCAAATGTAGACCCAAAGATCGAGAAATCATCCACAAAAACTTCAAGAAAATTTTCTACCATGCCTGAGAATATTGACATCATACATCGTTGGAAAATGGCAAGAGCATTGCATAATCTAAATGGCATCCATTTATATACAAAAGTACTGAATAGATAAGTGAAGGTAGTTTTCTCTTGGTCGAGAGGGTCAAAAACTACTTGATTATACCCGGAGTATCCATCTAGAAAGCAATAGTAGCTTTGCCCGACCAATCACTCTAGAATTTGATTAATAAATGGCGTGGGAAATGATCTTTTCTAGTGGCGGAATTGAGCTTCCTACAATCAATGCACACACGCCATGGGGTGGTGGTGCGTTTTGAGATTAACTCATCCTTAGAATCTTCTTGGTCATTTGGTAGATTGAAAGCTATAATGACTGGAAAAGTGTCAGTTAGGATGGGAGTGGTTTTAGCTCTAAAGTAGGTGGTGAGACAAGAGATGGTACCGGAGGAGTACTTGAAAGTGGAGGGAGTGGTTCCTTTGGAGTTTTCAATGGAGGATAATCCGTTAGGGCAATGGTGTCCATTAAAGCATTCACCTCACGAATTGAACTATCAATATCAAAAGTATCCATATTAAAATAAGCAAAACATGCTTCTAATGGATCTTTTGAAAGAATAGAAGGAAGAGACTCTTGGACAAGATCATCAATCACATCAACTAGGAAACACTCGCCTTCATCTATGGGATGTTAGCTTACATTGAAGACATTCAACTTAACCATCATATTACCAAAAGAAATATCCATGAAACCCGACTGACAATTGATTGTGGCGTTAGCAAAGGTCAAGCTAGGATGATTGGTAAAATTAGGCACCAGTTTGGTGTCAAGAACTACAAAATCAACCGGGAAATAAAATTTATCCACCTTGATGAAGATGTCCTCAACTATTCCCCGTTGTTGTTTTGTTGACCTATCGGCCAGTTGAAGCACTACCAATGTTGGTTTTAGATCTCCTAACCCCAATTGACATAGACCGAGTATGGAATGAGGTTAACACTCGCTCCTAAATCCAAAAAAGCCTAATGATGCAAGAAATGATGGGAGCACTGTGATCTTTGAATTTCAGAGGAGTATTATGTTTGATGATTAAGCTCACTTGCTAGGTAAGAATCATTTTATTCGGAACTTGACTTTTTGACTTCCTCTTTTGAATACACAAGTCCTTCAAGAACTTAGCATATGGTAGACTTTGACGAATGAGATCAAAAAGAGGAAGATTAATTTTCATTTGTTTGAAAACTTCCATTATGTCATTGATTTTCTCCTTTTGACGTCCGAGGAGGGAGAATCTTTTTAGAGCTTGAGGAAATGGAGTTTTTGGCTCATAAGGTTTTCCTAAAGGAGGAGGCAATAATCCTTCTTTTGCATTTTCATGAGATGAAATAACTTATAGAATGAATGGAATACTTGGTAATGGCTTTTCACTATTTCTCACCGGCTCACTATCTTCACTTAGCATCTCTTTCACTTTTTTATCAATGATCTTACCACTTCTCAAGGTAGTGATGGCTTGAACTTGTTCATGTGTGGAAGGTCCCAAGGTGGGATTGGATTGCACCATGTAATGAGTCTTTTGGTTTGGCTCGGGTTGACTAGGCAACTTCCCTTTTTCACTTACACTAATTGAATTAGCAATTTGCCCAATTTGGGATTCAAGCTTTACAATTGATTGAGAATGAGAATGATGCAATTATGTATTTGCCTCGAGTTACCCAAAGCAGCCAACACCTTGTCCTCAAAAGTGGATTTCCTTTAAGGTGTTTGAGGAGTATTGGAGTATGATTAGAAAATGGGAGCTTGATGATGTGAATTTAAAGAGTGACCAACACTTCGATGATGAGAATATTGCGGTGGATGATATGATTGAGATTGAGAATTTTGGAGATAAGGTGGAACATATTTTCCTTAAGGAGGATTTGCACTTGCTCCTTGATTTTTCCATGAGAAATTCGGATGATCTTTCCATCCAGGATTGTAGCTGTTAGATAAAGGATTGTTACCTGAGCGAGAGAATGTGGCATTCACTTGCTCGTGAGATTCACTTGTGATTGATTGTCCATGGGGACAATTTTGAGTATTATAACAAGGATACAAGTAAATCATGCAAGTTTCACTTTGAATTTGGGAAGAAGAGGATGATGGAGTTATCGAGGTTTGACTCAACAAGAATTGGTCAAACCTTTGACTAAGGTTTTTAACTTCCACGGCTACCTCCATAGACTTATCAATGTGATAAAGATTTTCAGTTTTCTTTCCCCCTAACATTGATACACGACCCAAACGAGTATAAGAAACACGATGCATGGAGTTTTCACTCAAATTATCGAAGAGAATCCAAAGGTCATCTTCATGTTTTAGCAAGAAAGTTACCCCACATGAAGTGTCATCCATTTGCGAATGAGTGTCGAACAAGCTTTCATTGAAACATTGAACAAGTTATCATTTTGGAAGGTCATAATGAGGACACTTCCTTAACAAATCAATCAATCTTTCCCAAGCCTCATAGAATGGCTCTCCATAATTTTGAGAGAATCCCATAATGGCCATCCGCATTTGATTTGTTCTCCTTGCGGGGTAGTACTTCCTTAAGAATTTTTGTTACATTTGAGCCCAAGAAGTGATTGTATTCGCCCATAGGTTGTTGAACCAATACTTCACCTTTTCTCGGAGGAAGAAAGGGAAAGTTTTATCCCTAAAGCTTCTTTCAGAAAATCGGTGATTTTCACGGTGGAACATACCTCTAAAAATTCATCCAAATGCTTATAAGGTTCTTCATGAGAAAAACCACTAAATGATGGACATATTTGAATGATTCCGGGCTTGATTTCATAATGATTGACCCAGAAATTTGGTAAGCGGTAACATGTGGGAGCATTATAGACATTTGGAGTGTAGTGATCTCGAAGAACCGTGGGAGGATTAGGTAGAGGATGTGCTCCGTGAGTTGGTTCAGGAAGAACCAGAGGAATGTCATTTTGTGTCATTGAATTAATTGGATGATTGCGAATGGGAGGAGGTCTCCTACTACGATTTTTAAATTCCCTAAAAGAAGATTCAATTTCTAGGTCAAGTAGAACGAGATAATTGTGAAGAGATTCTTTCGAGTATACACAACAAAGCACACAAACAACACAATCACAATAACTTTACCACCAAAACATCCACATACAATGATCCCGTTCTCCTCAATTCAACAATATCATAATGCAAAATTTAAATTGGCCACGACAAGGACCGATGATTGAACAAGAAAATAAACAATTGATAGCCTCGATAAGGACTATCCAATTATCAAACTAAAAAGTGCACAAATAAAGTTCAAGAGTTCAAGATACGCTCACAAAGGTCCGATGCACAAAGCTATGATCCCAATGCTTGCTTCTCCTTCGATCAAGTAACTAATTGCACACAAAAACAATAATCAGAAAATGATATGAAATGAATCTTAAACTAGCAATCAAATGAACACTAATATTAAATTCAATTCCAATTGAACAATAGTCCTTGGCAACGGTGCCAAAAACTTGATGCGTTCTCACGATTAATGAATATAGATGTGTAAATATAACAATTGAGAAATGCCAATTTTAAATTTATAAAGCCGCTACAGAACTATATTTGAGTATAGCGAGTAGGGATCGAACATAGGGACTATAGGCTTGGATTGAACTTAGTATTAATGAGTGTGAGATTGAAAAGATGATTGGTTTGATTAAACTAATGATGAAATTTAACTATGTAGAAATTGCAAATGAGATTATACGAAAAAGAAATTGGAGTAATGTAATGGTGAGAGGGACCAATAAAAAAAAAAAAAAAAAACACTCCTTATGGAATTGCATCAAGTGCCTTTAATCAATGGGGAAAACAAGTTGTAATGAGAATGTGACTACAAGCACACATCAATGATCAAGTAGATACTACAATTGCAACGAATAATCATGAATTATCAAGTTCAAGTGTGAATTGTCTACCTAACTATAACTATTCTAAGATGTAGAATAACTCATCAAGAATAAGCATAATCCATCAAATTACGAGCAATTGTATACAATAAGAACAATGCATGGCCATCATTGAGCACAATTACAAAAAATACTCAATGTAAAGATCAATCAACAATCAACCACATATAAGATAACATATAGTCAATTGAAAGATTAATTGAAAGAATTGTCAATATAAATCTTGGTACAACCAAGTTTGAATTCATAAGATCAAGCAAAAACATATACAACTTATAATTCCCCAAAATTGGAAGACAAGAGATACAGTTACACAAGCTTTGGCTCATCCAAGCCCTAAATGAAGATCTAGTCGGACATAGAGGTGATGGATGTCATCTTCATGACCTCAGTTCCTATCTCCATGCTTGGCTTTATCTTCTTCTTTTACCTTGAGAGCAAACCCTAGAGAGAAAGAGTGCTTTAATTGTAGATCCAAAAATCCCCCAATTCAATCTAATGATTAATCTCTTATCAAAATGGGTTTGATTTTCTATTTATAGGTGACTCTAAGGCTCCCCTTATGGTCAGACCCCGTACACATGGACACCTCATGGATTGCACCACGAGCCCCCTTGGATCAAGGCTTAAAATCCAAATTTTGCAAATGTCAAGCTCGTATCCAATCGATCGGGTCAGAAGTCCATTCGATCGGAGTCCGAGTAGACAATCCGATCAATCGAACTATCTCTGATTTTGGCTTTTAAGCTTATCTTCTATTACTCTCCCAAGGCTTGACATCTTTCAACCTTTAAGGCATTGGAATTACCCCTGTTTGATCTCAATTATCAGAAAGTATAGAATAAAATAAATCAAGATTAAAACAAGAAAGTAAAGATAAATTAAGTTGCTAACTAATAAAGATTAAGGGTTGAATAAAGCATATTTCAGCACTTATCAGTAAGTATGTTAAGATATGGTTGCGATGATGGATATATGCATGTGATGTGGAATCATGTGAGCTGACTAATGAGTTTAAACTCACTTATACCTTGTTAGATTAGTTTCCATAGACATGATTAGTCTTTGTTGGGGTATATGGTTCAATGCTTAGGGATTCGTTGCTTAGTGTTAATTATTTATGGTTAATATTCAGGGATTTGTTACCCACCATTATTTGTTTACAGTCAAAGCTCAGGGATGTGTTGCCAGTATTATTTATTCATGATTTTATGTTTATGGATTCATATCCGATATTTATTGCTTGTGGTTAATGTTTTGGGATTAGTTACTCAGTATTTATTAGTTATGTAATCTAATATGAGTAGATTCGTTGTCTCATGATCAGAGTTTAGGACTGAGGTATATATTGTTGGAGACGTGTCACTAGTATAGGAGATTTGTTTCCCTGAGTAAGACTTTGGGACACTCGCCACTTTTGGTGTGTTTTGAGTGGTCACCATCTATTATGGTTGAGGCGCCCTATATGTAATGATTATCTATAGTGTGTATATGTATGTATAGACTATGTAGCTATTACATGAGTTTTAGCTTGAGATGAATTGTTTATTAATTTTCAGGGGTTTAGTAGAGAGGACTTGCTTATGGATTCAACCCACTGTTGTTTATATTTTTCAGGTTCTTAGAGGTTTCAGTCTCGAGGTTGAGGATCCGCAACTTGGAGACTTCATCCATCTTCTAATCTCCTTTTTATTCAAAGTATGATGTTTTATTTATTGATATTCTTTAGTAATGGTATTGTTTATTAAATTATTAGAATATTCGATTATGGTTTTTGGGGTCCTTGGTTTATGGGATTCCCGAGTTATACACATTTGGAGATTTATTTTAATGATGGAATTTATTAGAGGATTATTTAGTTTTTCTTTCAGTATAATTATTATTTATTCATTTTGTATTATGTGTTTGTTTAAATACTTAATTATTTATTCATTTTGTATTATAGTGTGGACCTAATCAACCCATGACTTAAAAATTAGGGGGTATCAGTCAGGGGTAGCCATACGATTTGCTCCACCTTCTACAACTGCCTTAAGAGTTTGAATATTCACTCCATTATGTTAGAGTTATGTTTCAAATTAATTTTTTAGTAACTCTATATTTATGAAGGCTTTAAGTTTTGACTTTACTATTTACTTACGAAGACATAAAGTATTTTTACAAACTTTAAACTTTAAACTTTAAGTTCTTCACCTGATGCATTTAATTTAATATATTAATATGTTATTTAAGAGTTAAGTTTAAAGTAACATTAAATACTTAATTAATGTCTTCTAAATATATTAGTATAAATAATATGGCATATGAAGCCTACGATACACACTCTTTAAACTAGTTAGAGTTAATCAAAAGGGATTTGAAAAGGTGTTTTCAAACTATTGATTTTGAGTGTGTGAGTTTCATATTTTCTATTGATCAGACAGAGATAAATACATAGGTTCATGAAGAAGAAGTGCAACCTTCATGAACATACAGTTTTAATATCTGGGCTTAGTTGAATCCCGGAGATAATGCTGCCATTTGTCTTCCGTTGCACGTGGGAGAGGCTTCAACTATCTTCAAGAAGCGATTATGCACCTCCAAGCCTCGATACTCACCGTTTTCAATATTTTGGTTCCAACAATTTGAAGATAGTTTTCTCTCGAATGGATTCATTTTCGTTGTTGTCCAACACTGATTTTTTGATTTCTCAACCGAATATCGAGGCTTTGATGGTGTGTGTATATATATATATACACCCCAACGGTGGAAAAGAAAATTTTATTTTTCCTTCGACAATTGAAAATCGCTTATGTCATGATTAAGCCACGTTCAGCTGTTCTGGGTGACAAAACACCATTTGATCAAATTTTAATTTGATTAATGAGAAGATCACAAGGTGGATTGAATTGGCATCTCATCCTACTAAAGGTGACCAAAATTCTTCCATACCTAGTGGGGGAATCATGTATCCCAATATTATATGTTGGTGGGCACAAGGGCAATTGGATGAAATTGCAATTCTGGTAAACAGGTCATTCTAAAGGATGAACACCATATTCCTAATATTCATATGAATATGGTTTATAATTCATTTCCTTTCAAGTGTGGCTTCAAGGTTATCTTTGAATCTGATATGTTCCTTAAAATAATCTTTTCATTAAAGGTATATCTAAATTTGTGCAATAATTTATATTTATATTGCTAAAGTCATTGATTAATAACATGTTATAAACTTGGTTAATGAACTGAATACTTTTATCAAAGGATTTCTCAGGGATTGATCGAAAGGTTATGGTAAAACTTACATGGGTCAATGCGTTATTGTTAGCATATGAAAATTTAGTGGTCTTTCATATATGTTGAAAGAAATACGGTACCTTAGAACTGATCTCCATCGGTCACGTTATTGATGCTCATTTTAAATATACTTATGTTTATTTCCTTGAATTTTGAAAGCTCTAGTAGGTCACTTTCCGCATGATTAGATCATATTTTGTGATAAATGAGAAGATCACAAAAGAAGTTTATTGCCTTTCGGGATGCATGCCATCAGTTGATTGAAACTAGATAATCTTTCCACATTACAATTAGTCAAAATCATGTAAGAT